CTCTCGGTTCTCGGTTTTCCGGATTTTAGCCCTTAGCTGTTAGTTTCGGATAAAAAAGGTGCCTGCTTCGCCCTCGACTCCCTTAGAAGTGCTAGTGAGGATTTTATAAAAGAAGAGTAAATTTAGCTAGGTCGATTAACGAACTCAATTTAATACATAGGACGAATAACAAGGACAAGAATTCATTTCCTACTTACAAAGACTCAAGTTTATCGCTGTTAAAGTGCTTAAGGCACAAGAAAGCCTTGTCTAGCTGCTATCTAAGATATCTATATATTACTTACGCTCGGGTGTTATACTAAACCACTTAAAAGTTAGCCGATATGTGCGCCTTATTACTATACCTGCCGGGTATTTCGCCCATCCACACTTACTATCCAACTTTAGCTTTCGCCACTCCGGCAACATCAATAAGGAATAAAAGCAGCATCGGGCAGCTCGTAACTCAACACAATACTAGTAATCCGCGCCCATTCAGCTCATTTTATTCCCGTTAGCGTGGGTAACTAGATAGGTATAAAGTTCCATCGCTTCTTATTTTATAGCGATCAACTAGCTGTCCCCTTTCTATTATTCACCCACAATCCATCTACGCCAAACCCGGTACTATCAAGCCATTTCCCACATCTACTTCCATTAGTAATCTCCGAAACTTAACGCTACAAAGACACTTCCAGATATAGAAAGCAATGAGGGAACACCCTTTCTTAATAATAAGGAAGAGACACTGGGCAAAATGTTTAAGCCGCAAAGGCATAACCGGCTATAGTGCAGGTGTACGATAGTCAATATCCTGCTACTTATAACCTTTACAATCACGAATATCGCCATCTAGTCTCGCAATCCTGCGACGGTCTAGCAAACAGACTTTCCAGATGCACGCAAGGCCGTTCAGTATAAGGAGAGGACATTCACTAGAGCCCTAACCTACGACAAGGCCCAACGTAGAATTGTCCGTCTTCAAGATTCAGACATGGAGTACTTTAGACCAGATCCAGAGATAGATCGGGCTTGGAGGGAACTATTACATAGTACGTACCGATCTCTGTTGTAGGCGAAAAGAATCAGTTACTAACTTGGACTGCTCCAGGCGAATCTCCATCAATAGGCAAAGAAGAAGCTAGTCAATTTACTGACGAACCCGTCTCACCTCCTACCAGTAGAGAGTACCATTTCGAGTAAGACAGTGTCCCACATTTCGTAGTTTTTTGTCTCGAAATATATTCTAAACAAAGTTAACTTAATTAGGCTGGACGTTTACCACTCCCTTCACTACCTTAATATGATCCGTATTATGCTAAACCCTATACTCTACAACATCTCCAATAAGGAGAATCCTTATTACATAGAAAATCAAGAGAAGGCAAAGATTCTCAATAACCCTATATATATGAGAACTCACCTTGAACACTGCTTAGACCGTATACGGCAGACTATTATATGTCACGGTAATTTAGCCCCATCTCGACTTTATACATAGCCCGGTTTTCCTATCGCTGTAGGTCGTACTAGTGCGCATACATGTCGAAAATGGGAACCGATTCAGGAATGGATAGATCAGAGGGCTCTAAAGGGGAAGATTCTATCTGCTTCAGAATAGCTCTCAACCTATCGTTATACTTTAGGAGTTAGTATCTATTCTTCAGCGAATTCCTAGCTAAAGTCCTTTCACTTTTTTCCTCTTTTATCGATCCTGCGTAAGCGGTACTAAATATATTTACAATAGAAAAGGGTTGTCAAGACGTTTATCAGATATAAGCAGCTTAAGCTAAAGAGCGCAGAAGTGGATCAGATTATCTAGAGTCTGCGTACATCCAATCAGATAATACTGCCAAGACCTTCACTTACATCAGCTAGACGGCAAGGGTTTCAGAATATAAAAAGTAATATATACTCCCTTAAGGGGACGCGCGAGCGCGTCTCCTAGGGATCACGATAGTTCAATCAATCCACAATCATCACAAGCATCACAATCATCCATCCAATTTACCGCCTTTAAGAACTCTCATATTCTAACACTAACGTCCGTCCCTATGTACCAGGACGCACAGTATAACGAGACAGTTTTCGCTTCAGAGCCTCGCTTTCTCTAATCTATATAGGGATCGACCTATAGTCGGCGTGTTAATGTTCCAGAGCTAGTTTTCTCCTAGGGCATCAACCCCAGCACTAATTTTCGCGATGTTACCCCTGCTGTCGATTATCTCGTCAACGCTGTCAATAGACTTTTTGTCACTATACCCCTGTCCATTCATAATGTAAGCAGTTAAGGGAATAGAAAGTATCGTGTCTTGTTGTGTGTATCATAATAGCAGCAAGTTTAAATACAGTGTTATTAGTTAGTGAGTAACCACGTAACTATACATAGTACTTCTAGGCTTACACACCTCCCTTAGATTCGAAC